ATAATTTGCAAATATTTTCTTCCATTTTGTGGCTTGCCTTTTCATTTTGGTGATAGTTTCCTCTGCTGTGCAGAAGCTTGTTAGTTGGATACAGTCCCGCTTGTTGATTTTTGCTTTTGTTGCCTTTGCTTTCGGTGTCAGGTCCAAAAAAGTCATCACCAAGACTGATGTCAAGGAGCTTACTGCTTGTTTTCTTCTAGGAGTTGTATGGTTTCAGGTCTTACATTCAAGTCTTTAATCCATTTTGAGCTAATTTTTGGATATGGTGTAAAACAGTGCTCCAGCTTCATTCTTTGGCATGTGGCTGTCCAGTTTTCCCAGCACCACTTATTGAAGAGACTGTCCTTTTTTCATTGTATATTCTTGCCGACTTTTGTCATAAATTAATTGGCCATATATGCGTGGGTTTGTTTCTGGACTCTCTTCTGTCCCATAGGTCCATATATCTGTTTTTATGCCAAGCCTATAATGTTTTGATTGCCATGGCTTTGTAAAATAGTTTGAAATCAGGCAATGCCTACAGCTTTGTTCTTTCTCAAGATTACTTTGGCCATTGGAAGTCTTTTGTGGTTCCATACAAATCTTAGATTATTCTATTTCTGTGAAAACTGGCATTGAAAGTTTGATAGGGACTGCATTGAATCTAGATTCCTGTAGGTGGTGTGGACACTTTAACAATATTAATTCTTCTAAGCCATGAGCACAGAATAGCTTTCCATTTATTTGTACCATCTCCAATTTCTTTCATCAATGTCTTACAGTTTTCAGGGTACAGATCTTTCACCTCTTTGGCCAAATTTCTTCCAAGGTATTTTATTTCTTTTGATGCAGTTATAAGTGGAATTGTTTTCTTAATGAATTATCAGAAATTGTTAGTATATAGAAACACAACAGATTTTTGTATATTGATTTTATATCCTGCAACTTTACCAAATTCATTGACTAGTTCTAATAGTCTTTGGGTGGAGTCTTTAGGTTTGCCACAATATCACGTCATTTGCAAACAGTGACAGGTGTATATCTTCCTGTCCAGTTTGGATGCATTTTATTTCTTTTTCTTACCTAATTGCTCTTAGGTTGGTCTTCCGGAGACAAGGACCAGCAAAGGCCTGGAACAGCTGCTGGCCGCTTGAAATGGGGCAGCATACCTCACCACGGTCACCCGGCCTCACCATCCTCGTCTCCTCACTTCGCTAGCATATGAGTTTATAAGACTTGGCTTAAAGTAGGATCAGACTGGGCAGTTAATAAACTAATAAACTCAATACGAAGAACAGACTTGATGTTTACCTAGTTCAGAGGTGAACAAAGAGAAAGAATGTGAGGGAAGTTAGATCAAAGGGAGGTTGCGTAGTTAGCCAGACTATTATGATGAGGTATTGAGGCTCTTACTTACAGGCAATGTATATTCTTCTATCCTAAGTGGTTAAGCTCACTGTCAGAAGGCAACCCTCCACTGCAAAGCAGCTCGTGCTTCCTGGTTGGCTGAATTCAGCAGGACACCCCATCAGAGCCTCTGTGAATTATGTTAGGGTCTATCCAGCTTCAGGTCAACTCCTGGCAGTAGCAAACTCATGGACTCAGGAATTTTTGCAAGAAAGGGGTTCATTTTCTCTTCTTGCTCCCCATCCCCTTGCAGAAAAAAAAAGAAGGCAAAAATTCCATGGCACATCCATTGTTTACTTCTTATATTAAGACTGATTGGCCTCTGCTAACTTTGATATAGGAGCTCAGGATCCCAACAGTTTATTACCAAAAAATAATAATAATTGATTTTCAGAGTTGCTTTGTTAAACAGATGGCATATCCAAAGTGCATAGTTTGGTTGAAAAATGGGTTTTTTATGCTCCTTGTGTTCATCCTTCAAGTTCATGGCCATCACCCATCACCACCTGAGAGTACTTAGTGCTCGGGATAACTAAAAGGGAGAATAAATCCTGCTTGCTTTGAACACAACCCAGAGTTCACTGTATATTCTTGTACCGGCCAATGCTAATCAGCTCTTCCTCACTCCTCCCCTCTTTTGTGCTTATAAATCAAGAGGCCTCAGTATTAGTCACCACAAAAGAGATAATTAGTAAGTACAAGCTGCTACCTTCATAGATCATTTTGTGCCTTGGATTCAAGCTAAGCCAAGAAACTGGAGGAAGCAACATCACACAATTATGGGTTGCTTTAGCAAAACATTTTTTATACAAGGCATATGAGTCTGAACGTTTAATTCTAGATTCTGTACCCCTGCCCCCACACACAAACTGTTGTAAGGATAGCTATGATTTGAGGCCAAAGGGAAGATTACTTACCCATTTTATAAGGTTTTCCTTTCCTAGACTAAAAAACGTGACTCTGGAACCCCGAGGACTTGGAACAGCAATTGTTTCTTAATGGTATAGTCTTCAGATTCAGATATTTTAAATACCTTAATCCTCCACAGGGTCATGGCAGCAAAATAAGATGTCCCTTTGTTCCACTGGGATATGCTATGTCCTCCCAGGAAGCCATGACTTACCAGCCATTTGTCCAACTGGGAAATTCATTTCCTGCTCTGGCAGGGCACATGGTCAAGGGCATTGCTGCCCCAAGAAAAGAAAGACTGTTTCCAGTCCAACTAAATAGTCTAGGAACTTCCTTCCCATGCATTGCTAACCAAATATTGCTGGCTTGGGTAGAAGTGTTCCACTCATGTATTTATGACTTTGGAACTGTTCAAATCCATGCTGGCTTTTATTTTTTCCATCACACAGTTCTTCCAATTTTTCAGTTTCCCATATCAGCCAATTTGCTATTTTTAAGCAGAACAATTTCAAGCCAAAGTAGCTAATCAGAACAGTAAAACCTTACCAATTCAAGCAAGGAGCTTGAATTTTTTCGGTGAGAAAAAGACTAGCATTAAAAACTGGAGGCCTTATCTATAAGATAAGGGTATGGGATTGTTTAATCAAAGTCCTTTTCTACTAATATTAAAACCACAATTCATCAGATCTAAGATTCCATTGATCATATGAAACATATTTTATGTACCAACAGTTTTAAATATTGTCAGTTGTTAACATTGTTCCAAAACACCTTTAAAGATTTCCCTGCAGTGTGTGGATTGGTCACATCTGACTCCTAGGAATTTGAAATCCATTCAGACAAATTTGGTGACCTCTCCTGCCCTCTAGTTGTATTGTTTGGCATGAAATAGTTCAATCCTATTGAATGGTCTCAGTAACGAAATATAACACCACTTTTTATCTCCTTGGGGACATCTTTCTTTCTAAGCAAATAAAGCATTTGCTTGTCTCTTTGCAAGAAAATATGGAATTGCTGTCCTCCTAACAATGAATATTTGCTTCATCAACATCAAACTTAGGTGCCACTACTGTTTTTGAGACTTTTTGTAATATGCAGTAACTTTTCATTTCAGTGCTGAATCATAATGTAATCTTTTCTAAGACATTGAATGGCAATTCAATTCAATGGTGTAGTACCAAGAATGGACGCAACTCAATGGAAGTTACAAGATGCCCCCCACCCCGTGACTGTGTCTGCCCTGTTCAGATAATGGTATCCGCATCATGACTGCAGCTTGGTGCAGTAGAAGCTGCATGACTCCATCACCCATGCATTCTAATCTCAGAGAGGTTAGAGTATGAACAAACAAGCATCCCAGAATGGATTGATTACGGAAGTAGCTACAATCTCCTGATAACTTACTATATCTCTGGCAGGGTACTAAAATATCGACCCGACCTCACAGCAGCCCCAAATGTATGTGTAGATTAGGAAGTTTAACCAGGTTAACAAAACTGCCCCAGACTACACAGGTAAATTTCAGAGCAAGGATTCAGAACAAGACAGTAAGCCATTCTATCCACTAGCTCTGTTTCTACAGGCTATGAAACTGTGTGCATATCAACTGTAGACTGCTGTTGGATTCCTTTTACTTTCAAGAATGTGAAGCATCACTCCAAATAGGCTCTCAGAGGGTTATTTAAAATAGCTCAACCACATAAGATTTTCTGTAATGAATTGATAAAAATAATTTATAATTAGCACATCTATTATAAGCAAATGGCCATTTCTCAAAGGGGCTCACCCTCATGATTTCTGCCTTCACAACAACTGTGGGAGCTGGTATGGCCATCTGTAGCTACTTGCTCACCACAGTACAACGAGATCGTCAACTCATCCCCATCTTCTGACCAAAACCCTAAGAGCTGAAATGACTTTCTCAGTGACACATGGATGTACATTCACAGCAAAATACGGACCTAGATCTGCTTATACCTTGGCCTCCTGGCCCTTGGGCCTACTCCTCAACATGGGGGTATGAATGGTTATAGACAATTATGGTTTTCTTTTTATAGACCATGAATGTAGTTTTACTTTCCCAATGTTAGAAGACATGACAATGAATGGGACTTTGGTGCACAGGAGCCCCCGGCCCGTGGTTCTGGCCAGCAGCCTAGAGGTAGAGCATGGAAGCCAGCAAGCTTGCCTCTAGAGAATACTGATGCTAAGTTAACCCCTGTGGCTTTGTGGTGATGGCGATTCTATTTCCACAGACAGTTAAATATGGAGTCTGGGAGGAGCTTTGTGTTTATGTTCAGTGCTTTGGGAACCAAACCCAAAAGAAAGGGCTGAGTGTGACTAAGAGCTTTTGTGGTCAAAATAAACACCAACAAGAGAGAATTACTAAGTCCAAACAGTTGAAGAGTGCCCGCCTCAAACTCTAGTCTTGTAGACACCATGACAACTGTATACATTTGCATGCCAGAGGCCAGTGTAGAGAGTGCTTTAAGAGAATGCAAAAACATCTTTTAAAAATTGTTTTCTCAAGTCATTAAATCATTTAGTTTGTGAGTGTATATTGAGTACCTACATGTGATGGGGGGGTGGGACATAGGAGTGAAAACTCCCACTCCAAGTGCAGCAAGCATGTGTACGTGAAGAAGCTGGGTTGAACAATGAGCAAAGCCAAAGCCTTTTCTGACCTCCTGCTGGTTTTGTTACAGCTGTAAAGGTGCTTCCCACTATGGCCTCACCAAAGACAAGAAGAGGCGCTCTCAAGATGGCTGCCCAGACGGCTGTGTGAGCCTCACAGCAACAGCATTCTCCCCGGAGGTCTCTGCAGCTGCCACTGTCTCCTTGGTGACAAATGAGCCTGGCCTAGACAACCCTGCCTACGTGTCCACAGCGGAGGATGGTCAGCCAGCAGACAGCCCTTTGGACTCTGGCCGGAGCAACCGAACTAGGGGTGAGTCAAATGGGTGGTTGTCTGGGAATGGGCTCCTTGCCTTGAGATTGCCTTCTGTGGAATATTTACTGTAGAAAGTTCTAGAAATGTTTTTTTAGGGGGAAATCATTCTGGCAGTTTCGGCAGCAATCCATGTCTAATTCTCAAAAGTGAGATGAAACCACAAGTACCTCAGATCATTAAAAATGTGTAATCAAACTTAGTAGAAGGGGTAGAGTTGGGCCTGATGATTCACCACCCCATAGCGTTGGCACCTTCCCATCCATGCTGCTCAAGGAAAGCCTTCTACCTTCAGTCCAGCCCAGAAAAAAAAAGAAAAGCAGGTTTTTAAACCATACATATTTCACTGTAGAAAACGGACACAGAACAGAGAAGCAAATCGCATTATTCTTCCACCTAGAAGTAATCACTCTTCTTGTGTTATTGTATATATCCAACCAGGCATGCACATAAAAGAGGATTTTTGTGACTGTAGCTACTGTTTCTTCCTTCTCTCTTGTCCTCAGCACGGCCCTTTGAGCGATCCACTATCAGAAGCAGATCTTTTAAAAAAATAAACCGAGCTTTGAGTGTTCTTCGAAGGACAAAGAGTGGGAGTACAGTTGCCAACCAAGCTGACCAGGGCAGAGAAAATTCTGAAGACACCACTGCCCCTGAAGGTAAGTGACCTCCCCGTGAGTCTGGACATGGGCTGGGCTTCCAGAATGACCTCAGGGGTGATGAGAACCAGACCACCACCCACTTCCTAGGACACCTCTCTTCACAAGGGCATAAAATATTTTTTACCTTGATCAGCCTACTTCTTACATAAGTAACTAAAGGCAGAAATGATTGTTCTCTTTTCACAGAGGGTGAGCAAATAGGTTTTGGAGCCCTTACCTTCAGGTGCTAGCTTAACACATATAAGAAATAATAATAATTAAGTGAAAAGCATTTAGAACATGGCTGGCATGCAGTAAATGCTATGTAAGTATTTTTTTCTTCTTATGACTAGGTATAATGTGTGGTTCTGAGTGTGTTTTTTCATGCATTAACTTATTTAATGCTCACAACAAACCTATGAAATGGCTACTATTATTACCCCTCTTTTACAGATAAGAAAATCGAGGCACAGGGAGATTACTTAGCTTGCCCCGAATTACCTTGCTTAACTTTGAATTCAGGTAATGTGGCTCTAGAATCCAGGCTCTGTTGGATCTTAGATCCTATGTGTTTATAAATGCAGCTGAGGAAATACTTTCTTTTTATCTTATGTTAGACCTTCAGAGCGGTAACGATAGCTCTTTAAAAAAAGGTTGAGCTTTCTTGTGTTCCAGGTAGTGTTTGTCCTAAGTCATTTAGATGTCACAAATCTAAGGGATAGGGATGATGATGATTCTCATTTTATAGATGAAGAAACGGACACCCAGAGAGTAAATCGCCAAAGTCACCCAACTAGAAAATGATAGACCTAGGACCTTAGCTCAGGTTCTGTGGCTCCAGAGCCCACTCTGGTAACCACTGGATTAAGGGCCCTCCTCTCCTGGGGGGTTGAGAGGTAGATCCCAAACCACTGTCTTTATCACACCTTCAGAGAATCCATGAGCAGTCCTAGAAAATCTCTCTTGCTTACTTGTCACCTCTCCCCTCTGCGCGTACCCATACACACGCACACTCTGGGCTCTCACTACTCTGAGCTCACTGCAGTCCTGTGAATACTGTGCCTCTCTCTCTCCCTTCCAGGCTGCTGTTCAGCTTTCACTCCCACACCCCTTCAGCTGCCATTCTCATTTCCTCCTTCCAGGCTCCGCATAGGCTTGGCTTCCTCCTAGAAGCCCTCCCCGACTCCCTCAGTCCTCTTTCCTTTGTGTTCTCGAAGCATCTGCATCTTTATTATAACAGTGTCCCTTTCACTGTCACTGCCTCTGTAAGAGCAGGGATTCTTTTGTGAGTGTGCATATCCTCAAGGTGAAGCACCATACCTGGCACACACAGTGGTGTTCGCTGAATGTGCCGTGAATATGGGATTACAACTCCCTGTCTGCCAGTCCTCCTCTTATGAAAGCGTCCTGAATTCTCCTCCATGTAAAGTTTTCTTCTGCCTGCATAAGATTTATTTGCCTGTTTATTGCAGAAACCTTTTTAATAATAGATTACTGTGTGAAAGGTACTAGCCTAGGCTCTATACCTTTATATAAAAATTATCAAATCCAGCTCCTGGCTTCAAGAGCCTCCTTCATGACGAAAAGAAAAGAAAATACCATGAAGAGTGAACTATAAATAAATGGCAGCGGCAGCGCAAGGGAAAGAAGCATCACTTGCAAGCAGGCTGTGTAACCTGTGTCTACGGGGCGGTTTATGACCTGGATGGGCACTGGGATCTTGACTGTGTGTTAGAAAGTAGTGGGAGCCATGTTTATAGCAGCAATGTCCACAATAGCCAAACTGTGGAAAGAGTCAAGATGTCCATCGACAGATGAATGGATAAAGAAGATGTGGTATATATACACAATGGAATATTATGCAGCCATCAAAAGGAATGAGATCTTGCCATTTGCAACGACGTGGATGGAACTGGAGGATGTTATGCTGAGTGAAATAAGTCAATCAGAGAAAGACACGTATCATATGACCTCACTGATATGAGGAATTCTTAATCTCAGGAAACACACTGAGGGTTGCTGGAGTGGTGGGGGGTGGGAGGGAGGGGGTGGCTGGGTGATAGTCATTGGGGAGGGTATGTGCTATGGTGAGCGCTGTGAATTGTGCAAGACTGTTGAATCACAGATCTGTACCTCTGAAACAAATAATGCAATATATGTTAAGAAAAAAAAAAGACGAAGATAGCAGGAGGGGAAGAATGAAGGGGAGTAAGTCGGCGGGGGAGACGAACCATGAGAGGCGATGGACTCTGAAAAACAAACTGAGGGTTCTAGAGGGGAGGGGGGTGGGGGATGGGTTAGCCTGGTGATGGGTATTAAAGAGGGCACATTCTGCGTGGAGCACTGGGTGTTATGCACAAACAATGAATCATGGAACACTACATCAAAAGCTAATGATGTAGTGTATGGTGATTAAAATAACAATAAAAAAATTTAAAAAAAAAAAGAAAGTAGTGGGAGCCAAGATAGGTCCTGGAGGGCATTTGGGAGTTTTGATTTGGGGCAGTGAACACACCGGAAAGCTTTTGCAGAGTGTTAGTGCAGGATCCGCACTATGTTCCGGGAAGATGGCCGCCGCATGAGGTGTGCAGGAGGGTTAGAGTGGGAGAGAATGGATTTCTTGAGATGCTCCAGGAAGCTATGACTCCAGAATGGGGTGAGGTGTTAAGACTTGGCAAGGCTGGTATGATGGTCTTTTCAGGATTTGTGAGGCAACAAAGTTTTCAAAAATGCCCTTCGAGTTGCATTGTTTCAGCAACCTGTGGTTGGTCCTGTGAACTCCCGTGGCATAGTTTATCCATCCTTTTTACAGGGGTAAAGAGTCTCCACTGCTTATTGGCTGTGTGACCCTGGCCAGGTTACTTAACTTCTCTGAGCTCCAGCATTCTGTCCTCTAAGAAGCAGGGATAATAATAATCTACTTCATAGGGTTGTTGTAAGTACTAAATCCAAAAAATATGCATGCAGCTGGCTAGCTCAATGCCTGGCACATAACACTCAGTAAATAACATCAAATCCCCAGTCCTTCAGTGAGGACACAATATTGAACAATTTTATTTCATTCCAGACCATCACAAGTTTGGCAGTTGGAAATTTTTTTTTAGACTTTATTTATTTGAGATTGTGTGTGTGTGCTGGGGTGAAAGGGAGAGGACCAGAGAGAGTCCCAAGCAGACTCCCTGGTGAGCACCGAGCCCAATGTGGGGCTCCATCCCACATCACTGAGATCACAGCCTCAGCCAAAATCAAGAGTGGGATGCTCAACTGGTAGAGCCACCGAAGCACCCCGACAAATTATTTTAACTTTTCAATGTCACTAGAGTCTCATTGGCGTGGTTCTAATTAATGTTATGTACAAGCGTAACTGGGTGTGTCCTTTTAGACTCTCAAATGGCCTGAGTAGTTTCAGTTTGGGAGGATGGTTTTTGTAAATCTATTGGAGTCGGGAGGAGGGCCGACAGGGGGAGGGGAACAAGAACCAGCAGTTTGATGATTATTTCTAAATCTTTCTTTGTTCGAAGTGTTTTTTGTTTTCTTTTTTTAAATCACCATTCCCTGTCACCAGACCTGTTTCAACAAATGCTTATGGTAACGCCTACTTAATGTAATCAAAGTAGTTTAAACATAATTGAACTCAATCACCCAAGCACTGTTGGCCCTGGGAACTGACACATTAAGGCTGCTATCCACAGACTTACAGCCAAGCCAATCGCTTACATTCAGTTACATCCCAGTGGAGGTTAAGGACCCACATTTGCAACGTCTCAGGCTTCCTCTGGCTGCTAAATTGCTTTGTTTATCATGTTCTGCAATACTTTGAAGTAATTTTAATTCTTTCTGTATTGTTCCTGGAGAGTTGAGCACTTCTTAATGAACTCACAGTTCATTAGGGAAAATGGACTAAGGTCAAGAGTTTTGAAAACAGAGTGCATATTAGGCAGAGCCAGACCTGCAGTTTTCCTCTTCCCAGATGACTTATGAAGAGAGAATCTTAGGGCAAAGGCAGCTACAGGAGACGAAAGCATCTCTACCCTCCACATCCACACTCAAGCAAGGGGAGGAGGAGCTGCGGCCGCCGCCAAGCTAGGTGTAACTTGCCTGGCATGTCATGGCGTCCCTTCTGCACGCTTCTACTCAGACTGAAGCAGAGGATGGCTCTAGTCAGCAGTGCTGGCTTATAGGTCTATAGGGCAAGTGCCCTGTGGGACGGTTGTGGATCCCTGGTTCCATGGAAACCTGAGGGAGGTGACAGGATGGCAGGTCACCTGGAGTCCCAGGCGGTGACTGGCCCTGAGGGCCACCTTCCTGTGCAACCTCCAGCCAGTCCTGTCACTTCCCCACTCTAAGCTCAAACGTCTTCACGTTGTAAAATAAAGCCATTCAACTGTCTGTCGCTATCAAACTGGACTACTGAGGAAGCTCTTCTGTGTGTGGGCACAGGGGTGGGGTGCGGGCTGGTGGGGAAGGGACCTGTGGAAGATTTTGTATGGAAAGGAGAGTCTTCAGTTAAAAGATAAAGTTGGAGGCACCCACCTAGGTCTCCGGATCTCCTGTGAGCTCTGAATTCAGCAATGCAGCCAGATCAGGGATGAGCCTCTGGAAGACACCACCTCTCCTTGGTCACGAATCAGGCTGTGTGACTTCCCTTTATTGACACCAGTGTCTGGGAGAGAGGCCTGGGAATTCCCTAAGCCTGAAAAAGCAGGGACTTCCAGGGAGAAAGCTTCAAAATGGCCTGGGAAGGCAGAAGAGCAGGTTTGTTCTGTTTTGTGGCTCAATACGTAGGTGCTGAAACTGCAGTCTCTTCCATAATGACCCTTCGTTCTCCTTCACTCCTTCACCCCAGGAGGCTTTGGCTGACACTTGTGGTTTGTGCACACAGCCACAGGACAGCAAGAAGTGATGTCCTCAAAGATCTTAGAGTCCAGGGGAGGATGTAAGAAATGAGCGTGGCTGATAACGGAAGGCTCAGTGCTGGGAGCAATAGAAGCTTTGGGGGGAATTGGGATGTTTAGACAGAGCAGGGAAAGAGTGGGATCAGGGTAGAGTTTAATTGAAAGGGATCATTTCATGCAAGTCTTGAAGGAAAAATTGGGTCTAGGCCTAAAATGAAAAACATTCCAGGCAGAGAAACTGATGCTGGCACAGAGGCAGGAAAATGGAAAACATGTACGAGGAATGATGAATAGTTTAGTTTGGCTGAAACCAAAGTTTGGCAAGAAGAAGAGTGGTTGGAAATGTCCGTTGGGTGGGTGTCTAAAATAAATACTGTCTTTGTCCATTTTAGTCTTTCCAAGGTTGTATCACCTGATTCCAGATGGTGAAATTACAAGCGTCAAGATCAATCGAGTGGATCCCAATGAAAGCCTCTCCATTAGGCTTGTGGGAGGCAGCGAAACCCCGCTGGTCCACATCATTATCCAGCACATTTACCGGGACGGGGTGATTGCCAGGGATGGCCGGCTCCTGCCAGGAGACATCATCCTGAAGGTAGATGCGGTTGCTGCAGGGCCATGAAAAGGGGCTTAATAAAAACCCCTTCAGAGCAAGTCAATGGATGGATGGAGGAAATGCTAAATAAATGTGAACGGTCCCTTTCTGTAGTTATCATGTTGAGAGGACTCTCATCTGAGACCTGTAATATAATTGAGATGGGTCTTTGTCCCCTTCTGTCTTGTTCTTCTAGTCTCTCCTTTCTGTAGAAGAGTGGTTCTGTCCCTGTATCATTTTGTCTGTTCTCCTTTTCTTTCTCGTCTCCCCTCCAGCTTCTGTCCCACTTCCCTCTCCCCACCTCCTGCTCCTCTTCGTCTCTCCTTCCTTCTACCTCCTCCTACTACTTTAACAATAACATGAAAGAAAACTGGAGCGTAGATCTTATGTTGTTTTTAGAGCAGATTAATGGAACATTCTGTATTTTATCCATTCACACACCCCTCCGTGGTAAATGTCTGGGAGCTTAATGGCCCTCCATGAGAAAAACCAAGAGGTAATCCTAAGCTATTCCCACCAAGCCACAGACATGGCGGGGCAGGCAGGTTGGCGGAACAGCGCCCCTTGGGCATTTCTGTCCTCTGAGGCTTGGGTGTCGGGAAGGACATTCGGGAAGAATTCTGAGAAGAAGAGAACGGATGAAGGGAGCATTGTTGATCAGACAGAAGTCAGACAGGTGGCAAGTGTGACAAGAAATCCCTCCCTGGTCCTGTGTTCCCTGTCCGATACCCAGAGGAGGGTTTCATCCCACTCCTTCTAGGTGGTTGATGGGCCGGCTCCTGACACATCATGTGCTATTTCTCTGGCAGAGAAATTCTTCTTTTTTTGGAATAAGAGGAGAAAGAATTTAAAGCAGTTGTCATAACAATCCTGAAACTCCCACTGGCCTCTGAGGTGGAGGACAAGGCAGGGCCTGTCAGGCTCCAGAGTGTGTCTGCAATGCAGTTGGGTGACACTCTGCATGGCTGCCCTGTAGAGGGAAGGAGCTGTCCTGCCTGGGAGGGTTACGTAATAAGACATTTTGATTCTTAGGGCCTTCAAGTGGCCCTGGCAGGCAAAGGGCTGCCAAGACTGTCTAGCAGAATCCCCTGGTCTTCTCCAGGCCTGGGTGCGATGGGGGAAAGCAGACGCAGGATCAGTGACCAAGCAGAGCAAGAGTTGTGAGCTCTCCTGGGCGTGGACAAAAGTGGTGAGCTGCTCTGTGTACGAGAGCCTCCATCCATCCATCCCTGGAGGGGTGGTGAAAAACCGGGATGGTGGGCTGCAGGAAGACCTCTTAAAATTTCACTCTGAGCCTCCTTTAACCATTGGCTTCAAGTACAAGAAATCCTACCCAACCATAGAAATTCAAGAAGGTTGTCTCTCTTCTGCGGGGCCCCTGTCCTTAAGACCCTGTGCAGAGTACAGTGCTGTCGTAAAATTGTTTTCTTGCAAAGCAGTGACTACCACTAGGGGCTGTAGCCTTCCGGCTGGGCCTGCTTAGTCAGAGTAATGAAAACCAGGAAGCCCCATGCAGCATCAGCCCCGCAGATAATGAATGAGGCATAGATGAGAGGGCTGAGCTTCAGGACGTTGAAGTAGAATAAAGAGATGCAGCCTTTCAGTAAGAGAGCCTAGAAACTCATTCACATCAGTTTGTTTGAAACTATACAGATTTTTTTTCCTTTTGTTGAGAACATGGGCAAAAGACCTCATAGGCAGGAACCACCTTAAGACCACACACACACACACACACACACACACACACACACACACGTGTACACACACACACGCATGCACACGTACGCACACATACACGCAGTGGCAGGCCACGGAAGTTCCAGGATGGATGACCCAGGGAGAAGAATTCATCTGGAGATCACTGGAAAGAAAGTGTCAGCTCAGTTTAATCTCAACAGCGGTTTAGTGTAATCATTTGAACCTAAGTGGGAAATTTTCTTCTTTTGCCTTTTCCTACTTTTTCTTCCTTTTTTCTCCCCCCCGCTCCCACCCACCCCTTCAGCTGAACGCTGAGTTTGGCAAGCAACAGGAATGAGGGCTGGGACTGTGAATAAATCTGGGGGCCTGTGCAGGGACAGGTTGAAGAGAGATGGCATCCACCGGGAGAGCTGAACAGGCGGCGCAGGTAACACAGAAGGAAAGCGGGGCTAGAAGTAATGTTGGAAGATGGGTGTGTCTGGAGATTTGGACAGAGGAGAAGGTGACAAACCAGAGCAGTCTTTAAGGAAGGGTCCTGCTGATGTTGTGGGCCTAGGCCTTCTAGGAAGTGTTGTGGCAGGTGGAGCTGGCTGATCCGCTCTAGCTTCCGGTCCCCTCCCCCCGCCACCAGGTCAACGGAATGGACATCAGCAACGTGCCTCACAACTATGCCCTGTGCCTCCTGCGGCAGCCATGCCAGGTGCTGCGGCTCACTGTGCTGCGTGAGCAGAAGTTCCAAAGCAGGAACAGCGGACAGGCGCCGGACGCCTATGGGCCCCGCGATGACCATTTTCATGTGATTCTCAACAAAAGCAGCCCTGAGGAGCAGCTTGGAATAAAACTGGTGCGCAGGGTGGATGAGCCTGGGGTATTCATCTTCAACTTGTTGAATGGTGGTGTGGCAGACCGACATGGTCAGCTGGAGGAGAATGATCGCGTGTTAGCCATCAATGGGCACGACCTTCGGTATGGCAGCCCCGAAAGCGCAGCTCATCTGATTCAGGTGAGTCACGGGTCATTGCCAAGATCCTGGCTAGAAACTGCAGGCGTGAGTGGGATGCTCACTACCCTGACCTACCTGCCCTCTTAGTACCATGTGTGACATGTGGTGCCCCCCTTTCCGGGAGTCAAGATTGAAGGACCAGGTAAGAACATTATGCAAGCAAATGATGTGTGTCAGGCTACGGACATTCCCTAAATGTTGCCAGCCATCCAATCTGACTGCCCATAGACACTCAGGGTTATATACTGCAACCTGATCAGGTTAAGATCACTTAAGATCAGCAGGGTTGTGTCATCTTTGTACCCAGTGTGTTATTTGCAGACTAGGGGTCATTCAGATACATTCTGGACGTATCCAAGACATCTAGAGGTACTAACTCCCATAAGAAACTGTGCCATCTACCCTCCAGGAATCCTGTGGACAGAGACCACTATGGGATTGGCTAAGGCTAAGCCCCGTCTCCATGTCTGAATCCAACCTCCTTGGAAAGCCCATGGGAACTCAAGTATGAAGCTAGAAGAATCTAAAAAGACAGGCATACAAATTATGTTCCCAATAGCCTGACATTGGTTCAAATTAATTCACTTTCCTGACTGGCATAGCATCATCAATCCCTAGCATGTATCTTGTTGCCTTTGGCTGGGTCACCATGGTTTTCTACCGTTTAATGAACTACCATCTTTATTCTTAGAAGGACAGGCTTCATTCTGGGCTCTTGTACTCTAACCCATTTATTCACTTCATTTAGCCAAGGTGTATTAATTTTCTGCTCACCTAGACATGTGTCAGGCACAGAGAACACAGAGATGATGGCCTCTTGGACTGTTCTCTCAAAGGAACCCTCAATCTAGTACAGGGGATGGACTTTCTGTAAATAATTGTCATATGGTGTATTAGTAATATAATGGAAAAATTAAGTACAGTGCTGTTTCAGATGTAGAGATTTTTGCTTGCATGGGCCTAGGAATTCTTTATAGAGAAGATCTTGAACTGGAGCTTTGAGGAATCAGAAATTCTCTAGGTAGAGAAGGCAGGGAGGGCATTTTAAGGGGATACAACACAAAAGAACATTTCCCTGGAAGCTGGTTAGGAAAAGCATTCATACCTGGAGCATGGTGTATATTAAAAAAAGCAGTCATAGACAAGGCAGGATTGGGAGGCAAGGACCAGATCCATGCTAAGAAGTTCAGACTTTATCCTCAAGGCCATGGGGTGTCATTGGAAGGTTTTAAAAAGGAAGTGATGTGATTTTCTAGATCTCTCTCAGGGTAGTAGAGAACTGATAGGAGAAGGGCCAGATTTGAGGTCTTATCTTATGAAGCATTTGCAATTACCTGGCACACTGTGTCAGCTTGCACTTAGTGATTAAATTATTAATACTTCAAGAGGAGACAGCGAGTCAGCAGTGGTAGTTAAATGAAACTTGTACCAAGTTCTGCTGAGGAGGATCATCAGAAGACAGAGCCTGCTTTCTAGAACTTGGTCACCTAAGCACACACAAGTCTCCGTACCCCGGGTTCCAGCCATGGAGTTCTTCCAGGTGTTGACAACTCTCTTCACTGTCATGTGTGTGGTATCTTCTCCCTCTTCCTCAAGAAGAACCAAGTAGTGTATGATACTGTCCTTGTAGGTGTGGACAGCCTGAGGCAAAGAGTACAAGGGGACTTACCCTACTTCCTCTCTCCCCCAGGATAGGAAGCGCATGTGGTATGTGGCTCTTGGTGGTGTCCCACTTTCAGAGTGATTCTCAATGTGATGGATGTTCATCTGCTTAACAGGCCCTGAGGCCATAGTCTGTGGAGCAGGTGGAGAAGATCAGAGTTACAGGAGGCATTTCCCCTCTGGACTTTATGCCATCTAGTCCCAAGTCCTTATGCCCAGCTTCAACTTCTCTGAACACCACACCTACATAACCAACTGCCTACTTGGTATCTCCATGTAAATATGTAAAAGGTATCTCAAACTTAATGTCTAAAACCAAATCCTTGACTTTTCCCTCCTCTACTCCTTGTCAAACCTGTTCTTTCCTCAGCCTTTTCCAGTCTCTAGAAATGGCACTATTTGCCCAGTTATTTGGGCCAAAAGAATCTCTTACTCTCTTTAATATGCTCTCTCTGTAATCCATTTCTCACCACCTCCGTGGCTTCCATCAGGCATGCTACCATTGGCACTGGGTCTCAGTGAGAGACCTCCCACCTGGCCTTTTGGATTCCACACCTGACTCTCTACCTCTGCTCTCTACGGCAGTTAGGTGGCCAATCGCCAGTCAGTCCCCTTGTGTCACTCCTGTGCTCAGCTCTCTGATGCTTCCCAAGGCACTCAGAGTAAAATTTCCAAATCTTAACAATAACCTTCAGAGCCATATGTAATTTGGCCTTTCGTTACCTTTCTAGCTTCATTTCTTAAGCGAAGTAGAGGGTTTCTAGTATTCTCATCCTTGCCTTACCATGCTCAGTCACATTGCCTTCTTGCTACTACTCCTCAAAAGTTGCAAGACTTTTTTCACATCAAGGCAGATGTTCTTGCTATCCCTCTGACTGCAAGAATCTTCCAAATGTCTAACTGCCATGCTTCATTCAGGGCTCCTTAAATGTCACCTTCACTGACCATTTCACTTAAAATAGCTTCTCCCACCCCCAGCTATATATCCTTTATTTAATCTGCTTTATTTTTTCCTACCAACTAATTACTTTATTACCTGTTAGCCTAGTATAGAATAATACAGTATTGTGTATCAAGCACTTACAGAAATGCCTGGCAAGAATAGACACTTGATAAATATTTGCTGAATGAATAAATTGAGTTGAGTTACAAAAATGTAAATATACAAAAGATTAGATTTTATACATTAATTCCATCTCTTAAGGATTTTTCATCAAATCGTTTACCAAAGAACAAACACCAAATCAACTTTTACATGCTGTTTGTCTCCAAGATGGAATTTCTACATCTTTTCCTCTTGAATTTCTTCAGAATTACCGGTTGAGCACCTTCTAGGTGCCGACAAGTGTGTGGATACAGTGGTAAACAAGACTGACACAGTTCCTGGCCTTGTAGAGCTTGGGGCATATTCTTGTCCCTGATCTCAGATACAGTCAAGTCAGAATTTAGCAGGTGGTTCTAGCCTGTATGTGTCAATGGGTGAGAACAGAAAATAGATGTTTATGAAAACATTAACCCATGGAAAAGGAAGAATCATTTTTCTCATCATGAACAAACTGCACTCTAAGCATTATTTTTCCCCTACTTTAGAAGTAGACTTTTTAGGTGATCATCAATTTTTTTTTTCGTGTCGTATTTGTCAACTCCTCTGCAGGTCAGTCTGGACTCACATTCTAGAGCTAATCTGCCAACGACACTCCGCAGCAGGCAAAAGAAAAACTCCCTTACTCATGCCATTTGGAAAAATTTTGATTACATGTGGCATTTTACTTTTGTAGATTAATAACAGAAGAAGGAAATTTTTTTCCCTGAGAAAGTAAATTTATGAAGTAAAATCTTGCCTAACAGTGAGACTTCCTGAAAGAGTCTTCTGCTTACTAAACAAAGCCAACGTGCTTTATAAGCAGGGGGAAAGGAAAAAAAAATTCTTTTAAAAACTTGGGCAAAGCTAGTTGGAAAAGAAATGGAAAAAGTAGAGTGCTGGGAAAATCCAGTTAAGCAATCTCAAGAGTGGATTTTATTTATGTGATACTTGTAACACACACCAGGCTGGGGGAATTAAACTTAATACCCTTCAAAGGTGGAGACTCAAGTTACCAACCAATCCTTGGCTGCCTGGCCTTCGTGTATCTCCTCCATGAATCATACTTGCCTTAGAAAGAAATTCCCAGACAACATGTCCTTTTGGTCATGTTTTCTCCCACAGTACCACACTTTTGCCTTTTTCTCCATTATTTCGGGGAAAAGTTATTACAGAGAAGCTACAACTGTTTTAAATTTGACCAACTTACATATGTAGAGTCTTAACCCCCACTTACTCAGCAGCCCCAGGTGTCAGAGCCCAGGAGTGAGTCGGACTCCTCTAGGAGGACAAGCCCTAAGGAGACAGAAGCTTCAAATATACAGCATTTGACTCCAATATTTGGAGCAGTTGACTCCAATAAACCTAGGACAACTTTATTTTTCTCCATTATCAATTTCTTAATTTTTTGAGCACCATGTCTAGAATCATTGTAGGTGGGACGCCTGGGTGGCTCAGTGGTTAAGCATCTGCCTTCAGCTCAGGTCATGATCCCAGGGTCCTGGGATAGAGTCCCACATCATGCTCCCTGCTCAGCTAGGAGCCTGCTTCTCCCTCTGCCTGCAGCTCCCCCTGCTTGTGTGTGCGTGCTCTCTCTCTAACAAATAGATAAATAAAATCTTAAAAAAAAAAAGATTCCATCTCTCTCTACTAATCAGTGTGCAAATGATTTATGCTGACAATACTATGCCTATTCTGAGATGCTCTCATCTATCTGCAATTCTGGAGCAGTGAGTTCAAATATATACAATTAAGAAATGAAGAAAGTAATTTTGGATTTCAAATTTGAGTCTCCTTCCTGTGTGTTTTTTTTCCTAGGCAACTCCCAAACTTGAGGCAGATGCTGAAAAAAAAATTCAAAGCCATTTGTAAAGGGGATGATAACCTCTAAGTTTTCATTAATACTTACAGATGTGTGAATTTTTGTTCCCTTTGCATGAATTAATATTTAAATTAGAAGTTATTTTATCAAAGAACAACTGGCAACCAGGCCTTTCAGACTTTTCAAAAGAATGTGAGCAGCCTCTAGTCAAAGTCAGAGAGTAAATAATGAACTACTCGTATTACCTACATTTGTTCTGAATATGTGGTTCCTGCTCATGAGTTTTGCACAACTGGAAAAAAGACGGAACTTTTGTCCCCTGGAGCCAGTAAGAACTGCCAGTGAAATAAGACCTGATAGATCAATGTGCTTTTTACAGATCAGCACAGCTAATACAGAGTCAAATCCCCATATAAACCAATTTTCTTAACATGG